CCCCAGGGCCTTTGCACATGCTGCTCACTCTGTGTAAAACACTCTTCCCTGTGTATCCCTTCATGTCTTTCACAAGTTTCTCTCTGGGATTGGCTCAAAAGTGGCCTCATGGAACAAGAGGCTGAGAGCCCCCCGACACAGCCCCTCCTTCCTCTTCCACATCTGGCAGCTCCCTTCTCCACAGCGCACATCAGAGCCTGGCACCCCATATGCTAACTTGTTTGTGGATTTGTTGACTGTCTGTCCCTCTCTATCAGAACAGGAAACCGCCCCCTCCAACCCTGGGCAAGGACCTGGGTCTGTTTTGTTCACTGTCAGACCCTCATCTCGTAGAACAGAGTTGGGTTCGTAGCAGGCACACAAAAACGAATGAATGCATGAATGAATGATTCCTGCCCTTGAGAGAAAAGGTGTGGGTGGTCCCCGGGAACATAAACCTGCCCCCCAGGCCATATGGCAGCCCCAACTGGTTGGGCCATCAGAGCCACTTGTCAGCAAAGCTAGGGCAGCAGCAGAAAAGAGACATGGCTGCAGGGCCCGCTGGGGGCTCTGCTCTTTGTCTCCAGCATATTCCCAGGGCAGCTGAGGACTGTCACCAGAGCCTGGCAGGAAAGCGGCCAAGCCAGCCGAGGGCAGGGAGGTCAGGGCGGGCACTGCCCAGGATACCCACAGCCCCCCCCCCCCACGCAGGACACACAGACAGCCCCACCTTGCCTCCTCCAAGAGCCCCTGAGCAGGGATGGGGGGAGCAGGGCACAAGTCCTGTCGGGCTAGGGCACCTTGCAGCCCCAGCCCCAGGACACCCTGATACGAACAAAGACGGCCATGCCAGCAGCTGTCCCATGCCCACAGTGGGTGGCATGGGGGGCAGAGGGGGACAGAAGCTCCAGGCCTGGCCCGCCGGACGACCGGACAGACAGAGTGTCTGGCGCCTGCTCAGCCAGCCTGGCCCTGGGCTCCCTCCTCACAGCTGCGGCCTTCCTTCCTGAGCTGGCGTTTCCTGGCTCCTCCCTGCTGTTGCCACGGAAACCCAGAGCCTGGTTCCCATGGAGCCCCTGCTGAGCCTGAGTGGGGCCCACACAGCTCGCAGAAACCCCCAGGATGCACATGGCCACACAAGGCCCCCCGGGGCTCACACAACCCAACACCCCAACTCAGCTAGCGCAACACCCCAGCCTGGGCACCTTGAACGTCTGTGGAAGTCACTCCTCCCACGTGAGACTGAAGGCTCGTCTGTCCCCCTCCAGACACCCACAAGGCCCTGTGCCCCTCAACCCAGAGAAGCCCCCACCTGCGCAGCCCTGCTAGGCCCCCAGCACTCAGGGGCAGACCCTCACCAAGCACCCGAAGGGCCCAGAGTGACACCACCACATCCACCCCTCTGCTCATCCAAAAGGCTCAAGACCCTCAGCCAGTCTGACAGCTCCAGGAGCACACTGACACCCTCGTTCGCACCCACCCAGTGCGGTGGACTCAGGTCCACGTGACTGTGGCGAATTGCCCACTGACGCCAAACCCGACCCTCTCGACAGCTGCCGCCTGTGAGCTTGAGCGCCCAGGCCTGCTCCCTCGCGCCCACCCCACCCACCTTTTCCCAGGAGCAAGGCCCAAATCTCGGAAGCCCAGTGGCTCTGGGCACAACAGGCCCGGCATCCTAGGGCTGAGAGCAAGAAGGCACGGGGTGGGGCAAGCCAGCTGTGCTGAGGCCTGAGCTCCGGTGTCCACCTGCACCAGGCCTGTTGCGGGGCGAGGGGCCCCCCTCGGAAGCCCTGCGCCCTGCACAGGGGTTGAGGCTGATCCCGCACCTTGCCTTTCCACCCCCACACCCCCCACCCCCGGCCCCAGCCCCTGAAGTGGCCTCAAGGAGGGCCACCAGGTCAGGGGCCACAAGGTGGAATCTGAACTGAACAGCCTGGCTGCAAAGTCAAAGTCTCAGAAGACAAACGAGTCCCTTCCACCTAGACCTGTGTGTGACAGGGACTCCCACCCCCACCCTCCAGGAGAAGGAGGGTCTGGCCCCAAGGGACTCAGTAATCGGTCCCAGGCTCCCTGCTCCTGCAGCAGCCAGGGCTGGGTGGGTGGGAGCCTGTGAGGTCTGTGCCCCGGGCAGCGCCTGGGAGGTCTGCCGCTCCCCGAGCCCAGCCAACCCCCCACCCAGCACGGAGGAGGGCGGCCCAGCATTCCCTGCAGGCTTCACCCAGAGCCTGGGGTCTGATCCTGGCTGAGACAGGAAGTGGGTGGAGGGCGGGGAGGGCAGCGTCCACTCTGCACTCGGGCCAGCCCCACACTTGCAGACAAAGCTTGCCCCTCTACGCCACCTTTCTGTCTGGGGAGTCGAGGGCTGCAGACAAGGCCTCCACAAGGGACAGCAGCAGCCGACCTGGGCCAGGTCACACAGAGGTGGATTCCTGGGCCAGGTCACACAGAGATGGATTCCGGAGGCGCGGGAATGCTCCAGACTCACGAATCACCCCCGCTTCGGATCGAGCTTGGGCCACTCCAGAGAAGTCTTGGGGACCCCTCCCTTGGTAGGTGTTGAGGGTGAGGACTTCACTGAGTGGGACCCCTACTCCACACCCCGTGGGACCCCATCTCACAGCAGAGTCCAGCCTCTGTCTGGCTGCTAAGGCATTGGGCAGACTCCAACACCAGGACCTACCTCACTCCACACTCAAGCAGACAGACAGACAGACCTTCACCATCACACAGACACACAGAGACCACACACAAATGCACAAACACACATCTGATGCCCCTCCCCCCAGAACAGCTGACCACACCCACACCAGCCCTTGTATAGCCCTGGGGGAGTCCCCCAGCCCTGGGCCTCCGGGGTCAGGGCCACCCTGACTACAGTCCCCACGCCCACCTCTGCCACTGTCTTCCCATCTGGACAATGGGCCAGAGCCTCGGTCCTCACCCCTGCCAGGCAGCACACACCCAAAGAGGTAGGGGGCACCCCAAGAGCCTCTCCTCCTGCCCCACCCAGCCCCAGCCCACAGGACATGACAGCTGGACACCTGAGTAGCATGGCTCTGCCAAGAGGGAGGGTCCTCCCATAGTGCCAGACGAGGTGGCCATCCCGGGGGATGGGGGGCTGCATTGGTGAGGAAATGCCGGATGCTGCCCACAGCCACTTCTGGAGCGACTTGGTCAAATCTGGGCTTTCAGGAGCTGCAGAGGGCACTGAAAATCCATCCCGATGTTGGAGGGGGGCTGCAGTGGAGGACCCTGTAGGCCCCCTTCCTGAGCCCCAGTGACCGTCACCCCAGACCAGCTGCTGCCCAGGCTAAGCCAGGCCCTGGGAACCCCGACCACACCCAGAAGGGTAAAGGTAGTCTACCTCTGCCATGGGCAGGCTCCTTGGACCCATTCTTCAACCTTAGAGTCTTCCTCACACACCCCTCCCCTCCCCGTGCAGGAGGCCCATCCACTCACTCACACTGGCCAAATGGGGGCTGGCGCTGTAAGGGGAAGCCTGTGTGTCTGACCACCCCAGGGCCCCCATTCTTTCCTCCTAACCTGCCCCCTAGACCCAGAGAACCCGCTTCTTGGTGCCTTGACTGCTCCCAGTACAGCAGCACGGGCTCCACGTTGTGAATTAAGCTCTGGGGCCTGGGGCACCTGGAAAGGAGTCTGAGACACATGGCGCTTTCCTCCTCCAGCCAGTGGACGAGACCCTACACGACAGAACACGATGAGGAGACTGAAGAGACAGGATGGACACCCAACAGCCCTCAGGTTGCGGGACCCCAAACCGTGAGGGCCACTGGGGGGGGGCCATCCCACTCACAAGCACTGCCTGCGTGCCCTAGCTCCGGGGCTGTGAGCCGAGCGCCTCCAGCCACACAAGCCCGGGGTCGCTGACGCCCGACGCCACGTGCCACGGAGCCCCCAGCTCCTGGGGCAGAGGCTCCTGCACGCGAAGGAGGGCTGCAGAGCTCGCAGGCTACAAACAGTTGTGCAGGAGGGAAAACTCAGATCCCACCCCGGAGCTGCAGCCCGCGCACTCACCCCACCGCCAGCAGCAGGGAAACAGTCCCCGGGGAGACCCCTCAGACTCCTCAGCTTCTGCAGCCCAGGTCCCCTCCGGGACTGCCAGGAGACTGGACACCCCTCGGGAAACCCTCCTGATACCCCAGGGGAGGGGCTCCCCCTTTCTCCTCCACCTGCCCCAACCCTGGATCCTGCTTCACTCTAACGAGGCGGCAGCTGGGCAGAGCAAGCAGCTTACTCCTGGTCCCACCTCCTGACCCCAAGGGCCCTGGAGGGAAAGGGTCGAGGCCGTAGGCTCGTGCCTTCCCTGGAGGCTCCTCTGCCCTCTGGACTCCCTCCCGCTCTGAGACGGGTCCAGGGCATCTACCGCTGAGGTTTGCCCTATTTGGACTGGATATGGGAGTGACGGAGGGGACACGAAGACCATCTCTTGTAACTCCAAAGACAGGCAGGAGGGACTCGAAGCCCCCAGTCGAGGAAACTCCACACGTGGGGTGGGGGTGGGGGCCGTGATGCCCTGGGGTTATCCAGAGCACGATTTCCCAAGACACAAGGCGCTTTTCCCAAAGTGCCCCGTACTTTTGAGCTAGACCCCAGGAAGGGTTCTTGGGACGCTTTCCAAGAACATGGGTTTAAAATATGACCCTCTCACGGGGGGATGAGGGTGGGCAGCCACCCTCCCCCAGTGACCGTCCGGGGGTCTGACTCCGTGGGTGGGGACGGCAGCTCCTCTCTGAAAGCCTGACGCCCCCTTCCAAGCTCCAGCCCCCATCAGCGGCCCGTTCCCCCTGCGAGTGTGGGGAGGGGCGCGGTCCCTCCTTCAGAGAGGTGCGGGGGCAGCCGCGCCGAGGGGGCTGCGGTGGAAGCCGGCGCGCCGGAGAAGAAAGGGAGCCCCCGGGGAGGGGGCGGCCCCAGCCCGCCCCGCCCCGCCCGTCCCGCCGCCCATTGGCCCCGCGCCGCTATATCTGGGCGCCCCCCGGGCCGGAGGCCACCGCCGTCCCCACCGCAGTCCGCCCTGCCCTCGGCGCCCGACCCCCGAAGTGCCGGCTACCCAACCTCCGCGCTCCCGCGCTCCGTTCCGCCCAGGCCGCGCCCAGCTGGAATGCAGAGATCGCCGCCCGGCTACGGCGCACAGGACGACCCGCCCGCCCGCCGCGACTGTGCATGGGCCCCGGGACCCGGGGCCGCCGCTGAGCCGCGCGGCCTCCCCGCCGCCCCCGCCGCCCTCGCCGCGCCCGCCGCCGCCGCCCCTGCCTCGCCGCCCAGCCCGCAGCGCAGCCCGACGCGCAGCCCCGAGCCGGGGCGCTATGGCCTCAGCCCGGCCGGCCGCGGGGAGCGCCAGGCGGCCGACGAGTCGCGCATCCGGCGGCCCATGAACGCCTTCATGGTGTGGGCGAAGGACGAGCGCAAGCGGCTGGCGCAGCAGAACCCCGACCTGCACAACGCGGTGCTCAGCAAGATGCTGGGTGAGGGGCGCGGGCGGGCGCGGGAGGGGAGGGGGGACCCCGGGCGGGCGCGGGAGGGGAGGGGGGACCCCGGGCGGGCGCGGGCGGGACCCGCCGGCCCGACGGCAGCCCGCTGACCCGCTTCCGCGGCCCGCAGGCAAGGCGTGGAAGGAGCTGAGCCCCGCGGAGAAGCGGCCCTTCGTGGAGGAGGCGGAACGGCTGCGCGTGCAGCACCTGCGGGACCACCCCAACTACAAGTACCGGCCGCGCCGCAAGAAGCAGGCGCGCAAGGCCCGGCGGCTGGAGCCCGGCCTCCTGCTCCCGGGCCTGGCGCCCCCGCCGCCGCCGCCCGAGCCCTTCTCCGCGGCGCCCGGCGCGGCCCGTGCCTTCCGCGAGCTGCCCCCGCTGGGCGCCGAGTTCGACGGCCTGGGGCTGCCCACTCCCGAGCGCTCGCCGCTGGACGGCCTGGAGCCCGGCGAGGCCGCCTTCTTCCCGCCGCCCGCGGCGCCCGAGGACTGCGCGCTTCGAGCCTTCCGCGCGCCCTACGCGCCCGCCGAGCTGCCGCGGGACCCCGGCGCTGGTTACGGCGCGCCCTCGGCCGAGGCGCTCAGGACCGCGCCCGCTCCCGCCGCGCCGCTCGCCGGCCTCTACTACGGCGCCCTGGCCGCGCCGGGCCCGGGCCCGTACCCCGGCCCGCTGTCGCCGCCGCCCGAGGCTCCCCCGCCGGAGGGCGCCGAGACGCTGGGGCCCAGCGCCGACCTGTGGGCCGACGTGGACCTCACCGAGTTCGACCAGTACCTCAACTGCGGCCGGACTCGGCCCGACGCCGCCGGGCTCCCGTACCACGTGGCGCTGGCCAAGCTGGGTCCCCGCGCCATGTCCTGCCCGGAGGAGAGCAGCCTGATCGCGGCGCTGTCCGACGCCAGCAGCGCGGTCTACTACAGCGCCTGCATCTCCGGCTGAGCGGCCGGCGGGTCCCCGGGGCGCGCGGCGGGCCCCCCCCCCCCCCCCCCCCCCCCCCCCCCCCCCCCCCCCCCCGCGGCCAACGCACCGCCGCGCGTTCCCGCGCTCTCTCTCCACGGCGCGAGTTTCGCGGCGGCTCCGGGTCCCGGGCGCCCTGCGAGGGTGCTTCCTACGCGTCCTGGGGCCTTTCCGGGAAGCCCAGGCTTAGGACCTGTCGGCTGGCCCTGCTAGGGTTAAGTTTTTGAAACGTCTAATTCTTTCCTTGCAGTGCATTTTCTAGAATCAGGCTGTATTTTTCGCTTTGCCTTTTATATACGTAATACAACATATTTAATTTTTAATTAAACTTCTAAACTTTTTCTTCCAAAGGGTTTCACTGGCCAAAAGCACCAATGTAGCAAGGCTTCTTAAATGTGAGGGGTACCAATGTTTGTTTGCTTTAAAGGAGGAGCAGGATCTGGGTCCCTACCCGCACCCCCGCTCCTGGGCCAGGCGAGGCCACAATAAAGTGACTCGCTCTTCCCTCTGCACACCCGAGTCTGTGGTTGTTGGGGAAAATCGGAATGGTACACCCAAGAACCCTGGACGTGCCTTTCCCCAGACAGCCTCCTGGGAGACTGCCCCCCAGCTTGGGCCCCAAAATATCCACTTCCCCATCCTTCCAAGATGCTCCCCCAGACAGAGTTGGTGGGAGGCATGAGGTGTGGGCACTCCCCACCCTCCCCGCCTTCCAGTCCCCTCCTGTCCCTCTCCCCCATTTAACTCAAGTGGAATAGAGGTCGGCGATGCCCCTGCACCCCCACCCATGTTTCATTATCCTCAGCTCTTTAAAACTTTCATCAAAATAAATAAATTAAATTAAGTTAAAAATAAATACGTAAATACAACTTCCTTCACACCCGGGGACTACTGCTCAGGACTGTGCCCCTCTCCAAAGGAAGCTGGCAGGGTAGACAACTGTATGCCCACCCCCGACCCCCAGAGCCCTGTCTGCCATTCTTAAACCAGTGTCCCCAGAACAGGCAGCACCACATCACACCCATCCTGCTTCCCCGTGACAGCTCAACGACCTGAGCAGGGAGGCTCAGGCCCCAATTCCGGAGCTCTCGCACCAGCCCTTTTCCCCATCCCAACAGAGGTGGACATCCTCTTTCCATACTTCCTGGTCCCCTAGTCCCTTTCTGGGGCCTCCTCATCGCAGAGCTGATGTGGAAAAGTCACTCCCAGCTCAGTCTCCCGGGCATCTGTGAGCATGGGCGTCCATGAGCCGTCCGGGTTCTGTATGGTGCTGAGTGCAGGTGAGCCTGAATCTCACTGCACATGTGTGAGCCCGTGTGTGCATGCATGTGTGTGCATGTGAGGCCCTGGGCATGGGTGTGATGCTGTGACATTGTGACCGTGTAACTGTATATACCCATCCATGCTCGGTGTGTCTGTGTGCACATTGTGCAATAAGCCTGGGGCTGGATGTGCAGGTGTCTGTGTGTAAACCTGGGTGTCCACACATGTGGGTCTGCTGCCTGAGTGTGTGTGGGGAGGCGAACAGGGCGTGGGGCTGTTTCTATAGGTATCCTGCCTCTCAGAGGCAGTGACATCATCTTTGTATTAACTGACATGGACTCTACATTTCACCTGGGTCCCCTATCCCTACCTCATCAGCAACAAGGCCCAAAAAACTCAGACAATGAGACAGAGATATAAAGGAACAGAGGCAGACTAGCCAAAGAGGACAGAAGGTGGACTCAGAAGTGGAAAGAGACGCCCTGGGTGGGAGGAGGGTCAGAAATAGCCCACAGGACGACACGGACACCACCTGCTCCCTCCAAATGTACACAGGTAACACAGGTACGGTGCATGGCAGAGGCGCTGAGGTGCGAGGGGAAAGGGGTGGTCCAGTGCAGCCACATTTGTCATGGGTTTGGAGCGGGAGTGCTCGGAGGCCCCAGTGCTGAGTCCTAGACTTCTGCGTGGAGAGAGAAGCACATGACCCGAGACTGTACATCACCAGCTCTCATGGTCCACCATTCCTGGTCTGCTCTGGGCCTACCCTCTGGTGGGGGGACAGGTGACCAACCCCCTAGAAGCCTGGGTCATCTGGATCAAACTGTGCTCCACTATGGGAGCCTCTGCAGCAGGTGTAGACCCTCCCATCCCCTCACTCCACCCACTGGCCAGGGCAGGTAGGAGGGTGGTTGCCAAAAGCCATCTGAACAGCCCCACTAAGAGCCTCCCTGCCTGGGCTGAGGCACTGTCCATCGTCCCACCCGGGCTCCCATCCCAGAGACACTCATGGATACACACAGAAAAAGATGCCAGACCTAGCAGACCCAGCCGGCTGTGTCGTTCTTTCCTGTTTTCTGGCACAGGCTGGAACAATATTCTCCGATCCTCCATTCTGGGCCCCTCACCCCACCCCCATCCCACACAGAGGGGCCCTTGAGGTCAGTAGGATGGGGAGCCACAAGGGTGCTTCCGGGGGGCCGTACACACCATTGCCCCGGTAGGCAGAAGACAGAGCGGCGGGACCCCTAGAAACCTCTCCCACGGTGGCAAGACAGGAGGCCAGTGGGGGCGGGGGGGCAATTTGGAGCCAGTCCCCATCGCCAGGGGCTGGGGGAGTCCAGGGGCAGGATCCGGAACAAGGGCATGAGAGGGCCTCCCACAGAGAGCAGCTGTTTCCAATAGCAGCTCCTCAGCCATTGCCCTCCGTGGTGGGCCAGCGCAGGAGGGTGGGGAGGGGTCTCTTCAAAGGACCCTCTGCTCAGGGCCCTGCCTGGGGAGCTTTCCAAGGGGTCTGGCTCTGCCCCGCCTGGACAGAACAGCTGTCTCTGGCAGAACCACAGCACGCCCCCACCCCCCAACCCTGGGCCTGGGTGGCTCCAGCCCTGGGTCAGGTTTCCCACCGGTCCCCCTCCTGGCTCCACCCACCTGCTTCCCCAAGGGTCAGAAAAGGGAAGTCCCCACCCCCAGCTCCCGCTGAGTCAGGCTGACCAGGAACAGACCCTGGCGGCCTAGCTCCTGGCAGGGAGTTCTAGCAACCCTGCCTGGCACAAGCCACAGCTCCCACGCCCAGGAGTCAGCCGGGCCCTGGAGGGACCTGGGCCAGGGTGTGGAAACTTCTGCAGCAAGCAGCCCAGGAGAGGAGGGTCAGGGAGGGTGCGGCTGATGGTAGGTTAGGGGCACCCTCTCCCTCTCAGGTCATCCCCCGGACACCCTTGGGAACACCACACACACAAGTAGCCACACAGCCTACCAACAGATTCGTCGAGGCCAAGGCTGTGCTCACTCATACATCCGATCCCAGCAAGGCCATGCTGGGCAGGCAAGGACGGACCCAAGGCACCCTCCACTCAGCTGGACGGACACTCTCGACAATGCAAGCATTCAGCCCACGTTCTACAAAACCTCCATAGGTTTTCTGGCAGCTAAGTCGGTGGTTTTAGTATATTCCCAGGCCTGGGCAGCCACTCCGTCTCATTTCAGTGTTTCCCCACCTTTTCAGAAAGAACCCCTCACTTGCCAGCGGTGACTTCCCAGCCCCCAGGGAAGCATCATCTACTTTCCATGCCTGTGGATTTGCCTGTTCTGGACATTTCACATAAGTGGAATCATACAATAAGTGGATTTTGAGACTGTCTTTATTCACTGTGCATGACCTTTTCAGGGTTCTTCCGTGTGTAGTGTATGAACTTCATTCCTTTGTAAGACTGAGTACTATCCCACTGTATGACTGGACCACGTTTTATTTATCTGTTCACCAACCAATGGTGAACCAGTTTCCATGTGCTGCGATTGCGAATACTGCCGCAGTGAACATTCGTGTACAAAGGTTTTGTGTGGTGTGAATTTTCATTAAAATTACACAGACTTATATCTCTAATGACCATCTGAGCAAGAAGATTAAGTATATTAGAGCCACACGCTAGAGAGAGAAGATGCCAGTCCCAAGGCTCAGTCCCTGGCCAGGGACTCCTGCCCCAGGCTGGGCGGGGGGGGCACCAGGGACCAGGTGTGTGGGAACTCCTGGCTCAGGGCCTGGAGGGACAACGGTGTGAACGCCCAGGCTCCTCCTCTTTGTGTTTCCATCCACAAGGCCTCTCTCGGGCTCCCTCCCCACCTCTAGCCCCGCAGGGAAGCCAGGCAGGATCCAGTGGGGCAGGCTCAGCATGGTTGGGGCTCCCCACCCGTCACCATGTTGTCTACAACCCCCTGTGCCCCCCACGACCCAGTCCTATCTCCGCGATCCTACCTCTGCCTCGTGCCCTACGACCCTGTCTCTGACCCTCACTTCCCAACCTGTGCCCCACGATCCCGTCCGCACGCCCCACGGCCCACCCGTGTGCGCCATGACCCCGCCCCTTACCCCATGACCCCGCCCCGTATCCCACGCTCCTGCCAGCCTGCGCACCCGAGAAAACAGGAAGGGGCGCGCAGCGGCGGCGCTGGGAGGAAGTGCAGGAAGTAGCCGCCGGGTGCGGCGCTTATCTTGGGCCACAGCCGGGACCCCTGGCCTCACGCCCCGGCACAGGCCCGGCAGGGGACGCAGGGCGCGACCGGAGGACAGGGCCTGCTCACCTGGCGGGGAGCCCCGGCCCCCTCAGCCCCAAGATACGAAGGTCACAACAGGGCTGTGGCGGGAGGCAACAAGACCGGTGAGCCAGGCTGTGGCCCCACATCCGTGAGCCCAGGTCCCATCAAGACACACCCCAGGGGCACCTGGGTAGCTCAGTGGGAAGAGCATGCGAGTCTTGATCTCAGGGCTGTGAGTTTGAGCCCCATGTTTGGGTGCAGAGATTACTACAAAAGATAAACACATACACAAGCACAGAGGTGACCCAGGGGCCAGTATCCAACCCCGGGCTGGCTACCTCCCCCACAATACATGCCCCCCCCAAGGTCCTGACCTTCCCACTCCCCCCCCACCCCCCACCCCCGCCTCCCAAAAGGGCTCACTTCCCCTAGCAAGAGTGGGTTCCTTGCTGGTTCTTCAGGAGGGAGGCTGCAGAGGTGGGAGTTAATTGGGGTTGGGGGGACGATGGTTGTTGTTTACTCTTGTGTTTACAAAGCTGAGTCTTTTCCTAGGGAGGGGACAGGATGGGGACTGTCCCTGGGAGCCCCCCAGGGTCCTGCAGGCCACTGGCAGGGACAATGGGTTGCAGCACCTGGCACCGCCCCCCCAACCCCGGAGTATGTGCTTTGCTTCCTGGAGTGGGGGACCTTGTTTGTTTCCACACCAACCACAGATGGATCAGGCGGCCTCCTTGCACACCTGCAGGCTGGGGGACCCCACGCTCAGACTCACATGCAAGGGCCAAGTGCCAGGCAAGGCCAGTGCACCCTTCAGGTCTGGGTGCAGGTGTTTCCTCCCAGGCTGAGTGTGGCCCCATGCCTTCTCAGCACCCAGCGCCAGATGCAGGGGCTGGCTAACTCACATCCTGTCCCCCAGCCACGGCTCCATGAACACTGGAGCTGCATCTGTCCAGGGTCCGGGCATGGCAGACACCCCTCTTTCCTACCACCGCCTCTTGCTCACTCAGGCTGCACCAGTAAGGGAGGGGTCATGGAGGGCAGTGCTGGGCAGGGCAGAGGCAATCCAGAGCCCTCAGAAGGGTCAGCACACTGGACTGGTATGGCCCTGCTTGCAAAGCAGAGGTGGGAAGTGGGGGGTGGGGAGAGAGGAGCGTGTGGGCGGGGGTGGGAAACACACAAGTGACAAAGTCGGGATTAACTTTTTGGTTTTCGAATCCAGAGACTAGTTTGCCAGTTGCCCGTGTTCCAGATGTTCTTTCAAAGGCTCCCAGTCTGGGGAGGCCGTGGGACACAGGCTGCCCTTCAAAGTCGGCCTGCCCACCCCCTTTTGGTGCTGCACATGGGGGGTCTGGCTCCCTGGCTTCAGGAAGTTACACAATCCTGGCCAGTGCCCTGCGGCCCCATCTACCACCCTGGCGCAGTCCCTCCTTCTGGGACCCTGCCCCCACTTCCCTGGAAGCAGCTGAGAAGGCACGTGTATGGGACAGGACACCGCTGGGTGCAGACCCCAACCCGACCATGCACGTGCCCCAGCAACAGTGTTTTTTACAGGGGAAGAACCAAGCGAAGGCCACAGCAAGGAGGACCCAGACCTCAGCAAGGAGGGCAGTACATGCCAGCCTTACAGATGCAAGTCCAGGGACATGCAGGACAGGCCTATGGCTCTGTCCCTGGTTGAGCACCACTCTGTCTTCACTGGTTCTGGTCAGTTCCAGACAGCAGTTACTGGGCAGCTTGGGCTGTGGTGATCAAGCCACAGAGGGGATCCTGGTGCTTAACATGAAAATGAACATCTTGGGGCCTGAGCAGGGCATCCCTGGCTCCCTCTCTGGTCTCTGGATCTTGGCAGGTCACTGTGGCTCTACCCCTGTCCTCAGGCCTGGTCTGGTTGGGATATCCCCACGCTGGACAGGCGAACTTTGTCCCAGAAGCCAGAAGCCCAACTTGCTGCCATCCCTATGTGGAGAAAGACAAAACAGTGTGTTGAATGGTGGCCCCAAGAAAGAGATGCCCACTTCCCAGAACCTGGGAGCGGGATTCTTATTTAGAAAAAAGGGTCTTGGCAGAGAAGAACTAAGGATCCTGAGATGAGATGAGCTTGGGTTATCTAGGCGGCCCTTAGCCCGGCGCAAAGAGCCTTGTAAGGAAGAGAAGGCCATGTGAGGAAAGCAGTGGCTGGAGCGACGTGGCTGCCAGGACACCTGGAGCCTTGGCGGCTGCAAGAAGCCAGGATGGGTTTGTCCTGGGAAGGAGATCAGCCCTACAACACCTTGATTTCAAGCCTGTGATAATGATCTTGGACTTCTGGTCTCCAGAAAAGTCGGGGAAGAAACTTCTATTGTGTTAAGCCACACAGTTTGTGATAATTTGTTACAGCAGCCATAGGAAACCCATACAGATGGTGTCTGGGAGACAGGGACGAGGGACCAGGTGCCTGCGCCCGTAATGCTGGCCTGCTATCAGGGTGCTGGTGGAGGCAGGACCGGGAAAGATGTGCAGGGCCTCTGCCCAACGTGGAGGCTACTCATTCTGTCTGAGGTCTCAAGAGAAGGGGCAGAGGGCGGACAGGGTGGGGTGGGGGCTCATGCTGAGAACTTGGGTTCTGCTGGCTCAGGCCACAGGCCTCCAGTCCCTGACCCAAGGTGCTGAATTTGCCGGGATAGACCAGAGGTAGGCTCCAGGAGGGCCACCTGAAAGTGGGGAGCTCTGCTAGGCAGGGGGAGGGCAGGGGATTGGACCCATGCACAAGCACACACCCTTGCATGCACAGGAGAATGCGCATACACCTGTGTGCACATCCTCACGGGCAACCTCTTAGCACCCCTCTGTGCACACTCACACACATATACACACTACCAGATGGGCTCTGGCAGGAGCCTCCAGGGAGGAAGAGCGGAGTCAGGGTGGAAGAGCTCCTTGCCCATTCATGTGGTCATGGTCTAGGACTCAAGAGATTGTGTCCGCAAAGCTCCAAGGTCTCTGCTCCCCCTTCTACCCGCCCCTCCACCCAGGACAGCCTGACTGCTCTCCCCAGGAGAAAGGGGGTGCTGTGGGCAGGCAGCAGCCCTGACAGACTGGTGGAATGCCCCACAGCACCTGCCGTACCTTACTGTAGGAGGCCCCTGCACCCCCACAACGGGGCCCCCAGGGCAGCTGCTTATTGTGGCCTGTGCACAGGGCACACATGGAGTGGAACCATGCTCAAGGCCTAGGTCTCTTGCACTTCCTGGCTGTGTGATTTGGGACAAGATCTGCAGCCTCCCAGTGCCCCCATGTCCTCATCTATGAAACAGAGACACACATGTACAGCGGGGTGCTGGGTCAGGGTCCAGTTATTCTGTGCTAATGCTGACTGCCCCACCATGAAGGCCTCTCTGCATCCCCTTCTTGTCTGTTCTGCCAGGATACCCTGGAGGCAAGGCCTGCTCTGGTGCCTCCTTGGTCCATCCACCTGTCAGAAAGGAGTATGTGAGGTGCTGAGTCCAACAGGCATCCTTGTTGGCCAGGTGCTCTGCTGCCTCTGCTTTCCCCACTCCTCCATAGGCTGTGATTGGGGAAGGGGTCACGGACACCCGGGTCTATGCAGCTGTGGGCAAGGGAGTTCAGCATCAGGACCCTCACCCTACCAAGCAAACATATGGTCCCAGAGCACAAGACAGCGGATTCCCTGACCAGCCTGTCCAGGCCCGCAGAGGGGGCCATGGCCACCCCTCCCAGGGCCGCAGGAAATGGCCTGGCCCCGCTTGCAGCCAGGGCCAGCGACTCTGGCTTCCCTTCAGGCCCATTTCCTTTATCCGGTTGTTTTGCTCTGAATTCACAAAGCTCAGCCTTCCCTTCCCCTCCATTTCCACCCCTTCCCCCATTCCAGAGTGGAGCAGGACGGATACCGGACATTTCAGGGCCCGATGGAGCCCCTCCTCACCCCCCCCCAAGCCTAGAGCTGTCCACTGAAAGGGGAGTCCCGTCCAGCGTCCCCACTTGCCCCCTGCTGCCGGAGGCTGGGAGCGCAGCTGGCAGAGCTGCCCGGGTCCTCGTCCAGGTGTGGCAGGTGGCCCTGGCTCCCCTACCAAGCGGCCTGTGGCTACAGATGCAGGGGCGGCGGACCCCACTGCCAGCAGGCGAAGGCAAGAAGACCAGACCGTAGCACCAGCAGTTTACTGAGTCCTGGCTTGGCGTCTGGAGCATGTCCAGGTCCAGGGCCCTCCAGGGAGAGCGGGTCATGACAGCAAGGGGCCTGGCCCAGCAGTAAGCCAACAAGAGGGAGGGAAGGCGGTTGTCACCAAACCAAGCTGGTTCCCAGGCCCCGCGGCCCCACTGGCTCTTCTCTGGCCTGCTCAGGACGCGCTAGGAGCCCTCTGTGGCCGCGGCACGCAGCGCGAAGAGCTTCTCCCAGCAGGTGGCGACGGTGTCCAGGACGCGCAGAAGGAGCCGCCTCCGGCTGCGGCGGCTGTGACGCTGGGGAGGGCGCCTCTTGGGCCGCCCGCCCTGCTGCCAGGGGCAGGACGGTCAACGAGTGCCTCAGTCCCTGCACCGGCCCCTCTCCCTCCCTGATGGGGACACCCTGGGGCCAAGGGAGGCTCAGGAGACCGGGGGAAGGGGAGGGACGGGGGTCTGGCCCCACACACCTGGTGCAGCATCCAGCAGTGGCGCCGCATCAGTGCTTCAGTGCGCAGGGCTACAGTCCACGCGGCTTTCTCCAGTGCCCCACGGTGGTGGCCCTGGGCCACTACCCTGCGCAGGGTCTGGCCCAGGGATGCAATGGACAGTAGGATATCGTGCTCCTGGGAAAGGAAGGGACGAAATTGGGGGCTGGGGGAAGAGCCTTATGGGGAGGCCCCAGAGGGGACTAGAGGGAGTCTTCCCCATACCTTCTGGGCACTGCAGGAAGCTCCCGCCCGATCCTGCCGTCCAAGGGCTGCAGCTTCAGTCAGGTTTTTCTGGATGAAATGGAGGTGTCGGGAGCCTGGCCCAGTCCGACCTGCCCCTGGCCCGACCTGCCTCACGGCGGCCTGCAGGTCCTCAAAGATGACCACACGGTAGTGACGGAGCACGTCAGGGACACTGCAGGCGTGGAGCCCTGCCTGGCCTGGTGCAAGCCCCAGCAGAGCCAGCAGGAGCGCCCAGAGTGCAGGCTTGAGAGGCACCTGGAAGGGACACTGGGTGAGGGAGGGGTGCCCAGGCCGGCAAGAGACCTCCCCTACAGCCACCCCTCAGGCAGTTTGCTTTGGACAGCCCCCTACCACAGCCACCAGGGACTCTCTGAACTATACCCTGTGCCATTCATAGCCTAGGCATGGGTCTAGCAGGACAAATCTCTGCCTGTTTCAAGTGTGAGGGAAGGACAGACAGTAAGCCTGCAAACCAGACAGCTCAATCCTCAATGCAGAGATTGGCGGACTGAAGGATGGGGGGGGGGAGGGGGGGCGCGGCGGGGGTACTGGGAAGGCAGGCCCACCGAGCCCCGAAGGGCCAGGAAGGAGACAGAGGGTTCCAGAGGCAGGAACACCTGGTGCTTTGTCTGCATGGGGGCAAGGGGCCAGGAGCCCACAAAACCGGAGGGCAGGGCTGACCTAGGTCTAGGGGTCCAGCAGGAAACACTACCTGCCGACACAGCCACACCCCTGGCTGTGCCCTAACTCATCCCCATACCTCCCAGACATCAACCCCCACCAGAGAGCCAGGCTCTCCTCCTGATGAGCTCCCCCTGATGCCCAGAACACTGCTCACCTCTGGGTCCCCAGAGCAGGGGCAGAACTGATCTGCTCCCACAGCCATGGGAAATGGGGTACCCCTGCACCTCCAGCCCAACCAGGACGGGGTGAGGGCTCAGAGCTCAAGGCCATACCCCTCTGAGGGGAGGGAAGTCTTGGGGAAACCCCCAGAGGCAAGGGAGAAAGGGGCCACACTGTGCCCCACCAGACATCCCTTTCACGAGTTTCCCCCTCCAGAAGGGGCTGGCCTGGAGAGAAACCCACCACCACCCTCCCCCTGGAAGCCCAAACATCAGAGAAAGACCAGCTAGTTCCCAGGCTCCAGGCCCCACACCCACCCTCAGGCCCCAGGCTGGAGTCAAACAGCGACTGGAAAATTAATCATGTGAACCCAGCGAGACGCAGGACTCGACTCGGCTTCCCAGCCCTGGGAGGGGAGCCTGACTGAGCAGGAGACCTGGGGTGCAGCACTGGCAGGAGGAGCAGATGCATTTAGCTATGGCCCCTCCTCAAATCTAACCCCAGGCATGCTGGGGGGGGGGGGGTCAGAGGTCACAGCAAGAACAAGAGCTGTGGGTGCTGAAGAACTGTCTAAAGGGTGGGGGCTGGCTGCCCAGGTCTAGGAAGGCTTGCCTATCCCCTACCCCAGGGGCCCAAGGCTGAGGCCATTCCAGCCAGTGAGAACCCTGGCTCCAGCATGTTGACCTGGACTGCGCAGCAGACCCCCTGGCTTCCCCCCCACACTGCCCCCACTGCCAGGAAGGACAGGCAAGAGCACCCAGGGCCAGGCCCTCCAGGCCAGGGTGATGGGAACCAAGGGAGGTTTCCCATCATGGGACAGAGAGTCTAGCAGCCTCCCCTGGACTATGCTCACTCCCAAACCCTTGGCCCAAGTAAGCCCCCTCCCCGGTGGCCCCACGCCGCTCACCATGGGCCTCTCAGGGTGAGGCCCTCCCTCACTCCTGCCAGTGGGCCTTGCACATGATCCTGGGTCCTCAGGTAGGGAGTGTGGCTGCCACCCAGGTCCTGCTCCAAGCCTGGCCAGCAGGGCTTCCCAGGACAGGCTGCAGCAGGGAAGGCTGGCGGCAGGCAGGCAACGCTTTTGAAGTTGGCTCCTCTGAGCAGAGGAGGGAGGGAGAGGGAGGGAGGCCCCACAATCCCAGCCCTACCCCCTCCCTCTCCCCACCTCCTATCCAATTGCTTCTTCAATTAACCTGACCCTGGAGCCCGACAGCTGCAGGCTCTCTTCCCATCCAGTGGGTCTTGGATTGAGCCATCAGCCCCAGGAAGGTCTGTACTGTCGAAGAGGGGGTGGGGTGCCCAGTGAACAATGCTGGGCCCAGCTGGGGTAGACAAGCCAGAAGAGGCCAGGGGCCTGTCTGCACCCTCCACTGGGGACTTCCTCAGCAGCCAGCAGGTGCTGCCTCTCCCAGGAACCCGGCTGCTGCAGAACCAGGTGAGCTGGACCTAACTCACCACAGCCACCAGCCCCCCGCACCCTGACATCCTGAGGGTCCTGCCCCAGCAGGTCCCAGTGCGGGACTTCCCAAGCTCCTCCTACTTTTCATCGCTCCTGGGCTGAGGGGGTCTTTTGCTGGGGGAGGTCATGGCCACTGGCCCAAACAGGCCCTCAACCCCACAATCACCACCTCAGAACAAGCACAGCCTACAGAACCCAACTTGCCTCGAGCTGGAGCTCGAGAAATACCAGCTGACGAGAAGCCTAGGTCATCTGTCTCAGGGAGAAAAGTAGTTTAACCACCTCAAAGCAAACAACCCCCATGCAAAGGAGAAGATATTCACACTGGATGATCCAGGTGCTCTGGAACCTTCTAAGGGCTCTGCAGGAGGCCGCACCTGACACTGAGGTCAGAAAAGTGCCCACGAGAAGTCACATCCAACTCAGAGCACAGAAGGCTGCCAGCAGGCCCTGTGACTACAGCCAAGTCACTGTTCGTTCCTGGGCCTCGGTTTCTACATCTATGCAGCAACAGGCTAGCTTTCAAGCTCCTAAAAGCTTCAGGACTATCTCTTTGATGTGATAAATGTAACAGGCAGGATCCCTCCTGCCTCTTCCATGAGATGAAAGGGAACTGAAGTTTCAGTGAAGATGGCGTGAACCCCGGCTGTGCTCCGCAGGCCTGAGCCACCTCAGGGTGAGAGGCAGAGGAAGCACGTTCAGAGTCACAGTCTGGGAGTAGGATCCAGGCCGCAGGGGTGGTCCTTCCCCTGCTCTGGGATGGCGGTGCCCTTCTGGCTCCCAGGGCAGGGGTGGACCCAGCAGGCTCTGCTCTCTCTAGGCAAAGCTGACCTGGGGCAGCACCGGCCCCAGGTGTTGACATCGCGGCAAATGTTCCCCAAACTTGGCTGCCTTGAGAGGGTTGAGCGGTGGGTCAGTGACTGATCCCCACAACAGGCCCCTCATCGGTGTCACCAGGAACCAAGAGGCACCAAGAGGCACAAGAAGCCTGTCTGGAATCTTCTCTCACATGAACGTGTGGAACAGCTGCCAGCTACTCTTCTCATCACCGTTATGTCGTAAGTAGCATCTCTTCTCCTTGGCCCACAGCCTCTGGACAACCAACGACCTCTGGCCAGATGTCTGTAGACGTGGCCAACACACCCTTTCTAAGAGAATCTGCTGGTTTCCCGCTGAACACATACACACAGTGGTCCGAAGTGTGAGGAAGTCCTTTGTCCTCACACAGCATAACAGTGCAAACATGCGAAGTCTCCCAGGTTATGCATTTTTTCAATCCAGAGATGAGGACTTATAAGTGCTTTAGAACAAAACTGTCGACTATAAATTACGGATTGTAAAAATAAACCCACAAGCACACGTGAAAAAGCTTTTACTGGTAACATTTCCCTCCGACACACAGCCGAGGGAGGGCTCCCCGTGAGCCCCTAGCAGCACACTTGGGAGGCACTTTAGGAAGCTGGGCCCACTGTCCACATTCACTCAAGAGAGCCGCTTACCCTGGTGGGCAGACCTGCGAGATGTCCCGGGGAAAAGTGAGTCACCAGGAGAGCCCCCGCTGTTCCCAGAATGTGCACCGCCCTTCCCTTCCTACAGAATCTCAGGGGGTCCCACAGCCTCCTCTGCAGGGCCCGGGCTGTCTGGACCCAGCAAGAGGCCTAGTGAGCCCAGGACGTGTCTGGAGAGCCCTGGCGAGGCCAGGATGTGGCCAGAGAGCCCACTGGGGCAGTAGAACCACTTATGGGAAGGCAGGGGAGGGTCGCGCAGACAAAACCAGCAGGTCACCAACCCCGACACGTTATCTGGAAAACCTTTAATTAAAGAGCCAGATGGATGGCTCAGGGCCCCTCCCATGCCCCCATCACTACCACACGTTCCTCTACGTGCTGTCGCGAGGGCTGCACCCTACAGGCACCGGAGGGTCAGAAGGTGTTCCTGATGTGCGCTGCCACCAGGACTAGGATCTCCCCAATCTTCCTCTGCCAGTTGGCGATGTCCTTGGACACAGCACACCACAGCTCCCCGTGCCGCGGCTCCGCGTTCTCACAGCGCCTCCTCACCTCCTCCCGCTGTTCCTGTGTGGGGACCACAGGGCGCTTGAGACGGGGCTCCTCCCAGGCTGCCCCTCACACCCACCCCAGCATGCTCGCCCAGGCCTGCAGCCCTGGGCCTGGCAGGCAGCGGGCACACTGGTCTTTGAGGTGCCCCACTGCAGCACTAATGGCATGCAGGTGTTGAGCCAGTCAGGCCTCTGAGTCTGTGCCCCACACAAGTGCCCCAAACAGTTTCCCAGACGCCACGTGGCACGGCTTCTACTTCCCATGGAGACTCCAGGGCAACAGCAACACTAAGCTTTGTGCTTGGCAGGCACGAGGGGTGGGGGTACGGGGGAGGCTGGGCCCCGAAGGCATGCCCAGGCTCAGGTCCAGTAGGACAGAACTCGCTCAGGCAGAAGGACAATCATCAGGGCTTGAATCCCATCCCCATTTCTACTGTGACCCCACGCCCCAGTCACCAACCAACTCATCAAGAGATGCTAACAGACCACTTAAAATCACCCAGACATCTACATTTCAGGCTAAGAGGCTAGAAGGCTCTAACTAGAAAGCAGACACAGAAGCAGACACCATCAGGCGGGACCCTTGTGCCCCGCCCCCCGCCCCCTCCCACTGCCCAGAGGTGGGGATGGGGAGCAGCCAGCACCTCACCTCTGTGCCATGCTGCAGTTCAAACTTGTAGAAGAACGCCCAGGCATCCCCTAGGTCCGAGTCGATCTTCACGGTGCGGTGGAACCACTCCCTGGCCTTGGTGATCTTCCGCTCACTCCAGAACAGCCTGTCCGCAAGCATGAGTGCAGGGACCCAGCTAAGTGGCCACATCTGATGGGGCCTGAGAGGTGGTGGGGAGCTGGCACAGGCCACAGATGCCCTGGGCAGGGCCCGGCTCTGGCAACATCAGTTTTATCCTCTCCCTAGTGAGCCCCTGAGCCCCCAAGAGGAGAGCTGAGGAACGGGGCCTGGCTACCTGGATACTGCTCCCATCACTAACCTGCAACTGTCCTTCAAGGGTCTAAACAGGCCGTTTCTTAAAAAGCCCACACAGAGCAAGACTTTCAAGCTCCTTTAAATTATTATTTTCCTCTGGGTAAAATACAAGAAGAGGAAAGTAAACCTTACAATTAAGACTTTGGGGAAAGTTAAGTGAAGCCTCTGTTCCCCAACAGGTTCCTTCTGGATTGTCTGCCCCATGACGCAGTCTCTAGCAGGGACCCAGCCAACATGGACAAGATGGGCCTCGGCTAAACACCAGAACTCGGGCCCACAGCTGACAAAGTCGCCTGCAAACAAGGCCCAAGCTGGAAGCACAAGTGAGGAGCATCAGAAACCCACTGAAGGACCCGTGAGCGCCCTCCCCCACACGTCCGTGAAGGCAGGAGGCAGGAGGGACACTGGGGCGAGCACTGTCTGACAGGTGAGACCCTGAGCGGCTTCCACTCTCCACCCCGTCCCACTGTCCTTGGTGGCCACAGGCACAAAAGCAGACCACCGCACCACCACCCCGCCGTTCAGGGCGGCTGTGGGGACTGGTCTCAGTTACAAAACGGAATAATTTCATGCCCTGATAGCTTGATTGTTTTTTAAGCCCTGTGGTATTCTTAATTGCTGGGTGTTAGATAAACTATGACTTAAAGAGCACAAACTCAGATAGCAGGTACACGGGACACCAATCTGGGAACAGCAAGGAGTGACTTATTTACCTTAGCAAAGCCTTTTATGAGCTTTTATGGCTGCCCTATCAGAGTATCACACACAACAGTCATTCTGGGAGGCGGAAGCACAGGGCAGGAGGGAGCCCCTGGCGGGCCCAGCTGGGCCTCAAGAGCCGGAGGGAGGCCTCCACGCGCGGTGTCCCCAGCCTCGAAGCAGCGGAAGAGGAGGTGCCTGCTAGGGCCTGAGGAAGCGGGGCGAACCCCACCTGTGCGCGCCGCGGGACGGGCCAGACTCCTGCTCAGGCAGCAACAGCGCGCGGGGGCTCCGGGGCCGCATATGCCGCCTCCTCAAGGGGGGGCCTGAGCGGCGGTCCCAGGAGGCCAGCCCAGGCCCCTCCTGACAGCCCCCACCTCAAAAACACCAGTCACCTCCCGGCCTCCTCTGAGCATACCCACCCCCACCCTGCTCGCAGGCCCTCCGCGCATCAGCCATAAACTCACTCAATCCTCCGAGGCCCCGGGCTACCTCCCATGCCTCACACACCACATGCCTCCCCAGGGAGCCCCTGACCCAGCACCCAATGTACGAGCTGATGGTGTGAGGTCACTCACTGACCTCCCGTTGCCCTTGAGACCATACGCCCTAAAGGAAAGATGGTCTCTGGCATGTGTATCTCCACACCTGCAGACTCACTGATTGGGCCTGACGGATAGACCCTATATTGTCCCCAAGGTCACCAAGGTGAAAGTGTCTGCTTTCTCACACTGACACGAGAAAAACAACTTCCTTGCTTATAGCCCTTTGAGCCAAAGAAGACTTGCTTATTAAATTCTGTGTGGACCAATGTTAGCAAGCTTGTCTCTGTCTTCCAATCTAGGACACATGTAGATGTAAACTGAGAAGTGTCCAGACTGAGAGAGCAGTCCCATCAGAAGGAGCCAGGACAGAAGAAAGGAGGGCTGGGCCCAGAGGAAGCTGCCTGTCTGTGCGTCAGGGACAGCACAGGCCACGGGGGCAGCACGTATCCGCATGGCCTCTGCCTGGAGATGGGCCTGCCTTGGGTCAAAGCAGAAGTGCTTCATCACAGAACATCAGTGGCCAAGGACCCTAAGAGGTCCCATTAGGTCCTGAAGGGTCAGCACCCCACAACGGCCCCTCACTCACTTAGCCACAGCCAGGAGAACGTGGGGGTCATGCTCACACTTCTTCAGGGCGTCGACACTCTTGGTCTTCCTCTGGGGCCTTGCCTCAAGAAAGATGGCTTCAGACCACAGGACACCTGAAGTTCAGACACAGACACAAAGACGCCACAACTCAGACCCCCGCCCCGCTTCAGAAACAGCCCACCCGTGCGTAGGCTGCCCCAAGAGGGGCTTGCCAACATTCTAACCTGGGGTGTCCTCAGAGCACAGCTATGTCCTCCCACATCTGTGGGCAAAGCCCCAAATGCTGCACTGCGCCCCCCCGACCCAGAAGCTCTGATGGCACAGGCCAGATGAGGTTCTGGCGGTGACTAGGCAGGAAGTACCCAAAACCTTCAAGGTACACTCCCACCGACTCCATAATTTCACATCTAAGGATTGATTACAACAAAACAATCAGAAATACTATTAAAGATTCAAACTGACCGACAGGTGAGTGGTAGACTTCTGGTATCTACACAGACACTTTCAGATTTAAAACAAGGCACAGGGGCGGCTGGGTGGCTCAGCTCAGATAAGCGTCGGACTCTCGGTTTCATCTCAGGTCATGATCTCAGTTTGTGGGTTCAAGCCCCACATCGGGCTCTGCACTGACAGTGAGGAGCCTGCTTGGGATTCTCTCTCTCCCTCTTGCTCTCTGTCCCTGCCCCACTCGTGCTTGCTCACTCGCTCGCTCTCTCTCTCAAAATAAAGCAAGGCGCAACACTAAACACACAGTAGAACTTGGGTTTTGTGCAGGAACACAAGTTATAATAATACAAATCAGTCAAAAGTAACAATTTCTCAATAGTGGGCTTACAGGTGATTTTTACTATCCTTTTTTTTTTTTTTTTTTTAAACCCCAAGTCTGTTCACAGTGCATGTATGTTTAAATGCAGAGTAACGTAACAGAAGCTAAGTTTCAGAAGTGATGGCAGGGCACCAGAACACGAAGTCAAACTCCCCACAACTGAGACTGACGATTTAGTTCACACGTCTGAGAGAGGTACAGCTGCAACTCTGACAAACAAAACGCTTTAATGGGGTATCTGAACCCCAAGACCGACTCCTCTAGGAAATGCTACTGCCTGACGAGTCTGGGAAGCCGGGAAGTCCCTTACCAGAGTTGGGGCACTCCTGGAGCGCCTTGGCCATGAGTGTGTTGGCGATGTTCTTCAGCCCTGCGCGGTACTCCAGCCTGACGGACTCCAACCTGAGGGAAGAGGCCCAAAGGGCAGGTCAGCACCCAGCCACTGAAGCCAGTGACAAGCCTAGCTACAGTTCTCTAAGTTCCTGGGAAGCCACTGTGGCAGGAGCCTCCTCTGCCAAGCAGAGCTCCTCCACCAGAGACGCAGGCACCGGAGCCCCCCGCCACTGTCAGCCACCACAGCCGAGGCCGGGACCCTGCCATCGTGCAGGTGCCAGCAGACATGGAGGGCGACGGCAAGTTGGCAGCTGGTGCTGTCAGGACCGTTGAGCACCACAGCAGGGGCATTCAGGACCTGCCCGACTCGCAGGGGTCTCCTCTGGCAACAGCTACACTGCACCCCTGCAACGCTGTTTCCAACGGACAGAACGCCATGCTCGCCTGACTACTTCCTGTTCATCCCTTAAAGGTTTGTCCAGATGCCACCTCCACTGCGGGATGCACTTCCTCGGCCTCATCCATCCCTGATCCCCCATTGTTAGCTCCGGG